CTGCTCTGTAAATCCCTATGGCATATTGTGTAATCATATGATATACCCTAATGTGTTTAGGGGCACATGTTGTGTTGTGTCATCAATGTAAAGAACTATCATTTTCACTGGCAGGCAGTTGGAAGCAATTAATTACCCATGGATAGTATGTACAGCTGTTGCTTATGTATGGAAACAGAAAAGAAATTAGATTTAATTGGTTTATCATAATCAAGAAAGTGGCATTTATTTCATTACAGCTTTTGTCAACTGAGCCACTTAGTTTCTCTTTTATTGGTTTTACAAACAATCAGGCAACATCCTCTTGGTACTAAAGAATTCCCCAATGTGTAAAAATGTGGATTATTTTCTCATTCAAAGGAGGATAATCTCCCCCCTCAATTGTTTATTCTAAAACTATGATCCCATCACCTCAGATGGATATATTAGCCACAGACAAAATTACGGAGCCCAGAGATCTTAAAATAGAATACCAATTTTTCCCTTTGTTATTGAAGCAAGTAAATGATGGGAAATCAAATCTGAAAGGAACATGAGAACATGCATACTCAGTGAGTCCTGGACTCAGTAGGGACTTTAAAAAAGCATATCTGTATTTTTTGCTTCACAGTACGGAATCCTAGCTTAGCATTATGGTGGAAAAAGAGTAGAAAGGGGAAATGTTTTCACTGGCAGCTGCACTGGTGTGAAAAGAAGTTGTGGAGAAACATGGTGGTGTAGCTTTATACTTTCTCGGCTGTTTTGGTCTCAACATCCAGTTGCCTTCAGGCAGTGCAGACATGCAGAGATGTAAAATAAAGAAATGTGTTCAAAATATAGCTCTGGAAAAATAGCAGAGGGGGAAAATCTGTATTTAGATCAAATGGAATATTATAAATATAATGCGTGCAGGGAAGCGGCTGATTTGTGATCTACCATTTATGTGGAAGAAAGAGAAAGCTTCCTCAATGCAGCCCACTGCTAAAATGGATCCATCTTCATCTTCCTTATCCTTAAGCAGGCAGAGGTGGTCTCTTCAGGTAGAAGCTTGGGGATAAAAGGGGAGTTTTAGGTATCTGTCTGCAGAGCCAGCATTTCTATCCCACTCTTAAGCCAAAATCAAAATGGAATAGCCTCCTAGAGGAGGTGAGAGTGAGGCTCAATCAATCAATCAATCAATCAATCAAGGAATCAATCAAGGAATCAAGGAATCAAGGAATCAATCAATCAATCAATCAATCAATCAATCAATCAATCAGATTTCTGCTCTCAAACTTGGTATCTTAAAAAAGAAAGAAAGAAAAAGAGGATACAAGGAATAAGGAGGGGAAAGGGCAAAACCTGAGTTCCTGCAATATCTTTTAATTTTATATTGAACAGCTACTTTGAATGGGAACAGCTCAAGGAGGGGAAGTGTTCATGACTTAAGCAATCATGGTGGTGAAAAGCAAGATGCTGCCTGGAAAAAGGCTGTTTTACACAATTTTGATGCCCGCTGTGGGGTGGAGACACAAAACCTTAAAATCAATGCAGCAGTAACATGCGAGAGTTCAGGACTTTACTGCCACTCTCAATCCAGCAGGAAAGTAATCTTTGGAACAACCTCTTGCAAATATACTTGATTGTCAAAAGGTCTTTAGGTTTTTTGAAAGGTTGAACCTGATCAGGTAATTGGGATGTACGTAATTTTGGACAGGCTGCATTGCTGGGTTTATCACAGCCATTTGTCGTTCTCGCTCCAACCTTGAAAAACATATTTTTTTTCGAAGTACAAGACCCAGAATCCGCTAACCAACAAGGGGGTTGTGCTTTGATTCTGGAATTTGAAGTAGAAAAGTAGCTTTTCTAAGACCTGCTCTCATGTAGTCCTTTCCAATGTGATCTTCATTCCTTTCTCTTTTTAAAAATATTTTTATGATAATTAAATTGTTAGTTACCAGCTATTAAGCTGTTAACTAAATATTCACTGCATTTTATGAACTGTGTATGTTACCTTGAAATGGTTCTGTTGATCTACTTATAAGCATTTTCAAACAAAAGGCCTGTCCAGACTGGCCATTTTTAGTGTCAGGTCGATTGAGCTACAATGGGGCTGTTGAGATCAGGAGGAAGAGTGATGTGCAATTTGCCATGTTCCTCTTGTCTAAACAGCAAATTGCCTCTTTTAACCCCATCGGTGGTAAATTAAATGCTTCCCCTGATCATCTGTAGAGTATCAGGGGAAGTGCAATTATTTTCTTTGCGTTGCTCCTCTCTCCCTCTGTTGGTACTGTTCCATTTTCACCCTTCCTCACTCCCTGCTTCCCTTCCCTGGTTATCCCTCCACTTTCTCCATCAGAGCCTGCAGCTGCTGGAGGCTGCTACTTCTTGGTTAAACAGAGTGAGTCAAAAAGAATGCATGCCTTACCACTGGGCCAGAAAAGTGTGGGGCAGCTCTTAAAGGGCAAGGATGGCTTGATCTAATCAGCAATGCATGTTGACATAGTCTTCCCTCACCCCAATCCAAACCATGCTCTCAACAATCCACATGCCATATCTATAGGACAATGTGGACAAACAAATAAAAGCAGGCAAGCAAGCTGACTGCATAGGAAGGATCCAGGAGGATCTTCCTGCATATGCCTCTTTGGCCACTATTAATTCGTAGCTCTTGCACGTTTAAGCAAAGACAAAAACAAGGACCTCAAAATGATCAGATCCTACAAAGCTGCTAACCCACACCATCTGGTCAATGTTTTATTCATCACATTTTTTCCTGGTACACTTTTGAAGTTTCAGGCAATCTTTCAGAACAAATGAAGTGTGTTATAAGAGCTAGACACTTTGGGTGAAGTCCTTGCTTGCCACTGGAGATGATCACACACTGACAAAGGCAGAGCAATTAAAGTTAACCCACCCAGGTCTCGCTGAGAGCGAATTAATGAAGTGTCATTTCCCTTGGCTTATTTTTTATAAAACTTTTCAGCCCCTTCTCCAAAGCTTTGCTCCAGCATGCAAACAAATGCCCCCAAGGATAGGTTGCTCTGTCTACCCAACATAGTGTGCAAATCCTTTTCAGGACTAAATGGGTTGGATCCAAGCACAGTCTGTATGCATTTTCCTTGTGGGACTTCAGGCCGTCTTGTTTGCAAGGTGAAGCAAAGCCATTTTACTTTGGAGATTGTGTGTGCATGTGTGTGTGTATGTGTGTGTGTGTGTGTGTGTGTGTGTGTGTGTGTGTGTATTTGTAATCTTTCATGCTACCTTTAGTAGCTTTGGTTGGAATGGTCTTTTCTCAGCTTGGATGACTGTCAGTCTAACCAGCAGTATCTAATATTCCTTCCCTGCCTCTGAATTCCAAGAGAGGGGATTACTGTCAGTCTAACCAGCAGTATCTAATTGTTCCTTCCCTGCCTCTGAATTCAAAGCGAGTCCCATCTCTCTGCTCCTTCCCTCCTTGTTATCTGCTGAAAGCAGTGAATCTGTTGAAGTCTGGTGCTCAAAGCAGTCATGTTTATCACTTTTCTGTCTGATCTGTTTAACTGTAAGAACTGAAACCTTTTATTCTTTCTTCTACTAATGTCTCAGAGTGTGTTATTGAGACTGTTAAGTGCCAGCTGGTGAGAGGAAAGGGTGAAATAAACTGGGGGAACATGAAACTATACTGCTCTGTGAATCCCAGGGCTTCTCAAGCACAGGCAGAGGAATTTAAACAGAAATTCAGTACTCTGCAACAGATATATGGAGATATGTTATACACTCTCAAAACGTTTTCTGCCTGACCTATCAAAATAAGCACTTGAAAGAGCTCAACCTTTGACTACAATTCCCAGAACCCTACAAACAGCATGGCCAGTGGCCCTGCCAACTGAGGAATTCAGTGAGATGTGGCCAAGAAATTCATGTTTCCAAACTCTGAATGAATGAATGAATGAATGAATGAATGAATGAATGAATGAATGAATGAATGAATGAATGAATGAATGAATGAATGAATGAATGAATGGACTCAATCAATCATCATAAGGCACTCACTATGTTATACCTTCCTTCTGGGAAGGGAAACATGTACCCCTCCAAATATTGTTGGACTCTAATGCCCAGTAAGTCTGATGACTGGCCATGCTGGCTGTGGATTGGGTGTTTTTGCACCAAAAACGGGATGCAGAAAAGATGAGCTGGATCATCTCCTGTTCACCATGCAATGCCCCACTGTATGTATTTCACCCACAACAGCCTCCATTCACATCAGGGTATTTGGACGAGGCTGAGTGAAAGAAACCTGAGTGTATCTATCGGATTTTTAAACAATTTTCTGGGATTTGCCTCCCCACTGGAAGATCTATTGGGGAAGCTGTTGCTTATTTATGTTAACATTATGTGTGTTCCCTGATCCTGCCACATAGAAACACACACACACACACAGAGCACTCTAGGTATCTAACAAGTCTTCTTAAAGCCTACTCCAATTACAACACACACAAATAAAATCATACCACTGACCCCCCTACATGAAATAGCATTGAAAAGACAGACAGACAAACAGCTAACGTCAACACACTAAACTTATATCAAATGTGAAAAAAGTTCAGACAGATCACGCCATTGGCACCAGAAATCAGGAAGTCAGACTTGAAAGGAATGGATAAACTTCATGTGGAAAGAGAACCCCATCTCTGAGCAGCAGCCATAAAATAAATCTCCGGCTTACCCCACACAAAGTAGCTTCAGTCTACACAGTGATGCTGCTAAAGTGCCCAAGTAACAATGATGAAGATAAAGCAGCCCAAAAGTTGTTCTATTTATTAGTTAAATCTATATATTGTATTTCCACCAAAGAAATAGAACTTGGGAGGAATAAAAAACAAAACTTGAATTAAAACTGAAAGGGAGATCTGCTAATTCATGTCCTTTAACATGAAGCTAATGACACCTGCTAGTTAAAATCTACTTCAGTGAGGAAGCCAGCTTAAAAGCTTATGATCTGTCAAAATAGTTTTAATTAGGAGGCAAGGCAGATGAGGAATGTGGGAGAAATTTACCTAGTGTTGTCAGAGTCAATGGTATGGAAAAGCTTTTCGAGTTCTTCCTCATTAAGAGTCCCGTCAGAAAAGAAGGCTTGGAATTCCTCCAAGGACAGCTTCCCATCATCTGCAAGCATACAAACAGAAGGCATCGAGGAAAAAGAAATTTCACACAAACAGTATTAATAGCAATTATGTGTTGTCAAGTAAACTCCAACTTATGGCAACCTTCCCACGAATTTCTAGGCATAAAGTTTCCAAAAGTGGATTACCCAGTCTTTCCTCCGGGTGGAGCTCTGGGACCACCGCGCAGCCAGCCCAAGGCTGCACAGCTGGTAGGGCACATAACTCGGTCAACCATGTCTATTCCAGATGATCTTGGTTGGCGCCTCTTGTAGAACGCTCAATGGAAATGTCAACCCATAGACACTGGGCAATACAATCTACAGAACACATGCAAAGGGTTTGACCGGGGAATGTGCCTCCAGCGAAAGAAAGACATTCATCGGGTACAAGGCAGGCAATAGCCCAAAGGCCACAAATTGGAAGCACTCATTTGACACACAGAAGGTCCAAGATTTGTTTCCAAGCACCTTCAATCCACATGTAGAAAGAATTCTGCCTCAAATTCTGGTGAACCATCACCAATTCTGGGTTGCATGGATCAGCAATATACAGTAAGTTGATATGAGGCAAGTCTCAGTTGTATATAAAAGGACTGCTCTATCCTTCTATGAGAAGATGGGATGGGAAGTAGATGGGATTCTATGAGAATCCCGTCTACTTCTGATCATTAGGTAGCATTCTTAAGTTGGCTTCCAGTGATCTCTTTTGCCTACAGTATCCAGCAAATTTAATCTCCATCCAGTGAAAGGGATTGCCCTACCTGCCAGTGTCTCTGGGCCACCCAGCCACACACGAGCAGGGCACTTCAATGCAATGCCACTAATTGGTTAAAAAAATGCTAATTGGTAAGCTTTTGCCTACAGAGGCAGAGAAAGACCACTTAGCCTATGAAGCCTGATCACTTCCAGTTGTCTCAACAAATCTATGTCCTCCATCTTGGGACATTAGTTTCCCACAGATCCAGACACTCTAACACCTGGTCAGAAGCTGTAGAATGTTTTAAAAACAACAAGAAAGAACAGCATTAAGCTGTTTTTTCCACAGAGCACAATAGAAAATCAGGACTGTTAAGACACAAGCCATTTTGTGAGGTGAGACAGGGTGATATCATAGTAGGAACTTGGAAATATTTGATGGAAGCCTCTTTTTCTCCAAAATGACTGGTGGTAATATCCTGCTTATCCAACCAGTACAAGTTAAGATAAGTGGTGCTGAATTTGGATGGCTGTGTATCAGAAGTGTCTTATCAGGGAGGACAGAGCAGAAATAAATTTGAAAAGCAGAAAGGCATGGCTGTACTATGGGTAGGATAAAAATTTAAGTTTAGATTGATATAATTTCACATCCAAGAGTTCTCAGATGCTGCAAATGAACTGTCAGAGGGACAGCATCAGAAGCTTGAAGACTGTCTGGCTAAATCCTATTAGGAGCACATAGATTGAAAGGCCATTTATGCACCATTTTGCTTGAATAGTGTGGAGAGGAGTGATAGGCACACCCTGAGCACTACAACTCTGGGTCATTCAATGAAGCTGATTGGAGGGTTCATTGAGGACAGAAAAACAGTTGTTGTTTTTTTTCATTTTACAGTGGTACAAATTTTCTTAGGATACTCACAAGGTACAAAAAGGCTTGCTACATGATGATTTCAAAGAAGGATCAGATAAATGCATTGGGCTGTTATAGACTGGTAGAATCTTCTGTCTCAGATGTGTGTGTGTTCTGTGCCGTCAAGTCGGAACCAACTTATAGGAGCCCTAACAGGTCTTTCAAATTAAGTGGCATGCTTAAGGGGTGTTTTTACCAGTCACACTCCCCCAATGAGTTTCCATGACTGAGCAGTGATTTGAACCCTGGTCTCCAGAATCCTAGTCTGTCACTTTATCCTACTGGGAAGCCCTCTTGCTCAGATGTCTTCTAGGAAAAACAGTCTAGCTCTGTGGGAGAGTACTTGCTTTGCATGTTAAAAGTCCAAGGCTCCTATATGGCATAGGTTGGGTAAGAGAAATCCTTTCAGCAAAACATTGTTGCTACCTTCACAAATTGTCAGGATCTTCAGGACTTTTCTGAAATGCCTACACTTAGTATGATTCTATGCAACATGGGACGTCTTCTGGCCTCTTGGAGCTCTCCATGGTCCTGAAGCAGCAGCTAAACTAACTGGTTGTGTGCAACATAGAACTTTGTCCAGATGTACCTGGAGCTCTCCATGGTGCTGATTTCTAGATAAAGATCTGCTCTGCAATTGTGGTCCTATCTACTAACTGTATCTCAAACAGGAGGCTGCCCAGCGTTCTGTTCTGTTGCTCAATTTCCTGCCTGTCCAAGAACATCTGGGGACCCAAGGTTGGCAAGCTCTGTAACACTACACATTTTCAAGCAATTTTCTCCAGTATAATACACTTTGGTACATTACTGCCACACATGCATTTAGGAGCATATATCTGCATTTTGTGATGAAATTTCCTATTCCGAGCTGCATCAAAGAACTCAGGAAGGTGAGAACATGAAGGTATAATTGTCCTCCCCACAACTCCAACATTGGTTTAGTAAATGATAATTGCATGAGTTTGCTTAAAAGCTGAATTAAAAACATGCTTTCCTTGTTCTCAGTTCCCCTGCAATCATGAAAGAATCATAAAAAAATGTCAAATAAATTAATATTTTAAATACATAAATAAATCAAGTCCAATGGAGGGAATCAACCTGAAATAGTCCATTGTGCTTCCTGGAGGCTTCTGGGATTTCACATTTTTATGATGATTTTTTAAAATATAAAAAAATAAAAAAAATGTAGGCCCCTCGAGGGCCTACATTTGATCTGTGCTACAGAAGGTGACAGTGGAGAGGAAATGAATGGAATCCCTCTGGATTTGAGCACAAAAGCACTGTGGTGCCCCAGCCTGGTGATGACCCAAGCAGGGCTGAAAGCTAGCTTATGTTTGCCATTTTTAAAAGTGGTTTAATAAAGATATCACCCACCCTTGCCTTCAGACTGAGCACTGAAGTGTCCCTCTTTTCCCGGGGAGGGTATAAGAAAGAAACCATCAGCTATTCAAGAGAGAAAACGACTCATGGTATAATGTTATGTCTGGACCACACATTATTGATGACCTTTCAGTTCACTCCAAGAGCTTGCATACCATAAAGTCCAAATCGGCATGTAAACAGGAAATCAGGCATTGGGGGGGGGGAGAGAAGTGCACTCCCTCTCCCAGCTCCCAACTGAAGTGAGCAATCCAATTACAAGATTTACAGTATTAATCACAACAAGAGGAGAATAAAAATATGCAGAGAGGCAATACCTTGTAATTGTTACTGGACGTGTGTTTGCACATTTATTATGTTTGGAAGTGTTCCCTGGATGAGAAACCAACGTGAAATCATTGCTGCTTTTCAAACTCCCACAAACAGCCATGATTCCATTCAATGCAGCAGAAGTCCCAGTATAACTGGGGAATTATGGGAATTGTAGTACCATAAAGCATACATTTGGGAGTTGTAGTCTAAAAATGACTTTCTTATGTTTTGGGAAGCTTTCCCTTTAAATCTCCCTGTCCATTGGAGGGGAAGGGAAGGCTTCCCATTTCTTTTTAATGTTTGCTAACTGCCACAGTGCATGTGCGATGCCTTGACAGCACTTTAAAAAAAAACCTTTCAAAGCATTGCTGAAACCTTAGCAACAATTTAAAAGAAAAGAGAGCCGAGGACATCTCCAATTATGTGGCTTCTTCCAAACGCCAGCTAGCCAGCCACTTTGGTTCGATCCCGGTCATGTACTTGCTGGCAGAGAAGCAGAATGGAGTGAGCCTACTTGTTTTAAAAAACAACCTGACCCAGCTGCCCTTGACAGGTGAAGGCAGGAAAGGGCTATGGATGGGCTGGTTTCCTCCGGCCATGATGTCATCTGCTCTGCACCCAAAGAGCAAACCAGCCTGTCCCCAGAGCAGACCAGAGAGAGGGACCAATGGTTGTATCATCACCCCCTCCATTTGGTATGTGCAGGAAATCCTTTCCTCTCACATGATCGAACACTCGCAGGTGATAACAATCCTGGGACAGTTACGATGTTTGGCTGCAAACCCCTTTCCACTGGAAACTAGGAGAAAGAACCCTGAGTGCTTACAGGTGATAACAATCCTGGGACAGTTATGATGTTTGGCTGGGAACCCCTTTCCGCTGGAAACTAGGAGAAAGAACCCTGAGTGCTCGCTGGAAGGACAGATCCTGAAGCTGAGGCTCCAATCCTTTGGCCATCTGATGAGAAGAGAAGACTCCCTGGAAAAGACCCTGATGTTGGGAAAGTGTGAAGGCAAGAGGAGAAGGGGACGACAGAGGACGAGATGGTTGGACAGGGTCATTGAAACTACCAACATGACTTTGGCCCAACTCCGGGAGGCAGTGGAAGACAGGAGGGCCTGGCGGGCTCTCTGGTCCATGGGATCACGAGAAGTTGGAAATGACTTAACAACTAAACAAAAACAAAGGAGAAAGAACCAAGTCCCCAACAAACACGAAGTGGCAATGAACTTGGGAGAGAATGAGTGATGGTTTCCACCTCACACTGGCTACTCAGAAGAACCAAGGGAAGCATTAGAGGAGGCAGAGAAAAATCTAGGAAGCAGGAAAATAATGGTGACGGGCACAGAGACCCGCTTCCCTCTCATTCACACACACATATAAAGACACTCTGTAAGGGAATATTAAACCTTTTTCTCCCAGCAGCAGGAATCTGGGGAAGCTTCGTGAATTTTTAATGCTTGTGCTACATCATTTTTGCTGAATGCACACTTTCCTCTTCCACAGCCTTAACATTATGTGCCTAGAAAAACAAGGGCCTTTCATCTCCCGAGCTGCAGTTATGAACCACAGCAGTGGGCTGAGGCCATGACAGAAACGCTGACAGTCAAAAGGAATGGCAGCTATTGAGAGATAATATACCGGGAATGGGGGCAAGGACACCCCGAGCTTTCGACTGACTGTCGTCACACACAAGCATTT